CACTTGATCTGTTTCAACAAATATTTCCAAATATCATGACACACACACACACATATATATATTATTTTCCATGAGAGAAAGACAAGTTTAAAGTTGCAAACAATATTAATAATTAATTGGTTCGGGCAAATACCAGAAAAGTTTTAGGAAATTTTCTAATCGGATCAGAAATGATGTTTTTCTAGGTCATTAAGTGAAACATGTGTTATAAATTTCTGCCAATGGCAGCTTAACAATGGCCACCAGTATTTAAAGCAATTTAATATATATTATGCTTCTCTTAACTAAACAGCAAAACCCGAACAAACAATTATATTAAATTAATCCTTTTATACAAGAACCTATATTGACATGAGAAACGACAATATTTCTGTTAAAAGGTATAGGATCTTGTTTGTTTATCTGAAAATAATTAACTATTTGAGAGACAACGTCAGTGTGTGAAATGTATACATTAAGTAGACTCACGAGTTCTTGTTCTAATTAAATTATTGTGTTTCTCACTAAACTTTGTGCTAATTAAAGATTTCATCGGCAATTAATATTACTCAACTTGTAGAGAATCAGAAAGCAAATAACTAAACGAGCCGATTAATTATTTAAAATTAATTAAAAATCTCAGAAAATACAGCCAAAATATTTGATATTTAGGTTCTATATATACGGCCAATTTATGCGAAGCCCTGCCAAGAAAAAAAAAAGAAAAAAATATGCAAAGCAAGAATTTTTATAGAAACGATCATGTGCCTCCATGATCAAGTGCCTCTCTATGCTATATATATCAAGCTAGCTGCCCATCACGCCACTAAAAAGATTGTAAAAAGGAAAAAATAAAAACAAAAAAACAAAAAAAACAAAAAAAAAAGAAGAAAAAAAAGAAAGTAACCCCACTAGAATATGTCTGACGAGGGACCTACTCATCATCCACCAATCAGATCGAAGATATTCCTCTCGGGCAAATGATCTACCGTCTATATTTAACACATGTGCATTTCTAAATGTATTGTGCTTTTCCATGTACTGACAATTTCTTCGGCTTAATGTGAGTTTTTATTTTTTTTATTTTTCTTGTTAAGTTTAAGTACCCTTTGGACTAATTCTAAAACTCTTGGTATGATCGAAAGGACACGTTGTAGTTCAAATCTGTACGGGAGGAAGAGGAAGAACGTACCCAAAAAACCAAAAAAAAAAAAAAAAAATGCCAGAGAGGATTATTTAAGTTGTTGGTTTGTGTATCTATGTTTGAGGCTCTAAGAAATCCAGATTACGAATGTTTTAACTTGAGAATGTTGTACTGGATTTTGAGTAGGGTTTGTAATAATACAGATTACGACAGGATGACACGATGTACAGTAGGCAATCTGTTTAGTTCGCTGATTTGAATTTTTAATTCGAGTTGATATGTGAATTTATGTGAGAACTTTTTACTGTAATAAAAAAGTTAGATATGACTGTTTCTGAGAGCTTTTTACTATAACAAAACTCGAATCGGTGAAATAAACAGAGTCAAATTTTTCTCAAATAAGTTGGATTCATTGAATAAACACTTGTACGTCAATATTGTTCGAATTTTATTTCATATTTGGTTTCATTTCACGCAGACAATGCATGATTAGTGCTTTGCAAAGTGTCTTTTTTGTGCAAATAGAATTTGATATTGGAGGGTTATATTACAAGTACTTTCCCTCTGTTGGTACTTTGATTTTTGGATGGACATTACGGAAACATGTCCGTTATCTCTTTGAAGGACTACTTTATTGCTAGGTTTTAATTAAATCGAAAACACAATGATGAATTCACAGTCTGAGTTAATGCTAGAATAGTTGGTTTTTTTTTCCTTTCAAGTACAAAAAAAAAAGGGAGAGAAAACATTGTAATATATAGTTTTTTTTTTTTCCTCATTTTTGGATAAGTAGGTTATACAATACAACGAGTGCTAATAACTTCCTCGTACAGATTTCATTAATCCTGATGGAGGTGAGATTGGATATAACTGAGAACGTGGCCTAGTCCTAGCTAGATACAAATCCTTCTATCAAGTTGATGTTTTGCTTCACTACAAGACAATACATTTTAGAACGTACAAGCATTATTAACGGCAAAAGTCTAAAAAGGTCCTGTCCAAATTGCGTTTGCTGTTACATTATAAACTGTATACTTTCACAGAAGTCGTATAATTACTCAATTATAATGCCAACATGCTACCACATATATGACATGCTACACACACAATGTAATGTTCCCAAAAATGGTAGCTAGAAATGACATGTATGTATAGGGGTAGGGGAAAAACCGGTCCAATTTGTATTTCAGCCACTTGAATTACCGCTAATTCATTCTGAAGTATTGAAAATTTTTCCATCGAGTCTCACTTAAAAAAAAAAAAAAAAAAAAAAAAAAAAAACTCCTCAATTTTTAAGCGTCTTAAATTAATTTTTAAGCAATATAATTGAAAAGCGGACGGCATGCTACATTACACAATGTAAAAACACCACATGTATGCAGAGAATACAATAGAACAAAACCGTATTATAACTGATTATTTTAAGATGTACCGTGTAATCTGTTCCAGCCACTAAATATGTCAGTTAAACTGATCAACACCGTTTAAAAATATTTTCTATCAAGTCCCGCTAAACCAAAAAAAAAAAGAAAAAAGGTGTTAATTTTGGACCATTCAAATTGATTTACATCTAATGGTTGAGTTGCACCGTAATTACCTCTATAACTATAAGATTAGGTTGGTAACATGTTGCGACATATGTGATGATCAGAAGTAGCTAGGGCACTTTAATTTTTTAATGAGATAGAAAGAGGTCCATTTGAAAGGGGGGGTTCACAAGTTAGTGATGATCTTTCTATTTGAACGTACGGCGGGAAGCAAACGGGCAAATAGGCGCTCCCGTTAAAGCAACACAAAAGGGGAAGATGAAGAAGTTGGAACTTGGAAGTGGCAGTCAGATTGGGTTCGGGAAATGTGTGCGTCATATTCACTACAAACGGGTTGGCTCTCTCTGACTCTCTAATTTCTTAGCCACCCACCCAACACACAAAACTCACACACACACACACACACACACATATAAACACAAACACTGTTTAGCCCTTTAAAGAAATTTGTTCTTTTTTTTTTTTGAAAAAAAAGGAAATTTTATTATTAATATGTATATATTTTTTTATTTTTTGTAAGGAGGAACCGACAAGAACAGTCAATTAAACCCAACTCAACAAGACAGAGATAGAAAGCGAGAGAGAGAGAATTATAGAAAGAGAAAGTACCCCAGAAAGAGATAGAGGAGAGGGAGATGCGCGCGCAGGTTTCAGGAGGACTGTCCATTGTCCAACGAAACTGCAAAAGTGTTGGGAAATTAAAGAAACTGGTTTTCTCTTTTTCTTTTTTTTTCTTTTTTTATTTTCATAATTATTGTTATTATTATTATTATTATTATTATTATTATTATTATTATTATTTGGGTGGTGATGGGGTTGGAATAGGATGTCTCCTTCCTTCCATCTGTTTGTGGAAATGCCAGCGAAACCTTTCTGGTCCTCCGTTCAGCCCGCACGTATCACCCTTTTGCATGTAAAACAGTCCTAATTAGGGATTCACTGACTCACCACAGTTCTCAGAAACCCATGCAATTCAAATTTTCTTTTCTTTTTTTTTAATTTTAAATTATGTTTATTAAAAAAAAAAAAAAAAACCCAATTGAGGAATTGAGTTATGACGTGGGGTTGGAGAGAGGGAAGGAGTTTAGAAGACTTTGGAGGGGGCAAAAAATCCAGCACAGCTTTTTTGGCTGTAAAACCAGTTTAGTTTACTGTTGTTTTTGCTGACGTGTAACGCCTGACCCCTATCTCTCTGGGGTCCACCTCAGAAATTCCAGTTGCCCAATCGGATAGCCGGAACTGCCACTGGGACCCACCTGCCCAAAATCACCACCCCCCACTATGAGAAAACTCTGTGAAAAAGTTGGAATCCCCCAGTCCTGTTAGTATCCAAATGCACGTGCGATCCTCACGTGTCAGTAAGTCCCAAACATTTTTAGAAACAAAAAAATCCCATGTCCATGAGAATGGAATGGAATTAAAACGCACTTTTGGTTTGGACCAAGTGGTACACTCCCTAATTGCATACTTGGTGGCCCTTAAAACATTCACAAGAAAGTTAAAAAAAAAAAAAAAAAAAGCTCTGCGTTTTGAGAACTAAACGAAAAATTAAGACTGTTAATCTCACACCTAATTTTATCATAAGATAAAGAGTGGAAACCTCTTATCCCCAAGTTCAAAAAAAAAAATATATATATAAAACTCAAACCCCATAAATCATAAAATATTAAAAATTACAAGAGAAGACTGATTAAAATGAGAAGACCAAAATGACCCAAATAAATGCCAAGGTCAATATGGTATTCTCAGTGGCAAAAACCGACCCACGAGTTTTCAAGCAGTAAAGAAAACGGTACTTTCTCAATGATCACAGGCCACAGCCAATATTTCAAGTACATTGTTATCGTTTTTACGTACCTGAGGGAAAGCAAGAGATCAAGAGATCTTAGATTGCTCATTACAGCAGAGAATTAACTCATCCATCATTTCGTCCTTCCTAGCAAACACCTACTCCTCCATGATAATATTTCTTTTTCTTATTACTCTTCGCAAAAACACCATTTTTTCATTTTCATTTATTGGAAATTGAACCCTCTCAGAAAATCTGACAGCCTGACGTCTCTTCCTCTAAACCACATAAAGTAACAAAAATATTATCACTTTCGTTCTTGGGGGGGAAAAAGAAAAAGAAGGGCCAAAAAGAAAAGGAAAAGAAAACGAATTCGATCCCGCTGTTGAAACAGAGCATAAAGGGATAGACAAAGTTTACAAATATTTATTTAAAGAAAAATAAATAAATAAATGGAAAAAGTTTTGCAAACCCCACCTCATGGCTCTATTAATACAGCCCGTCTCTTCCATATGCGAAGGCATTAACCAATCTATCTATCTTTCCGTCTGTCTCTGTATCTTTGAACGCCAAATAAACTTCACTTCACTTCATTCATTCATTTTATCAGAGGAAGAGATAAGGAGAGAAAGAAGTAGAAATCCAAAAAAAAAAAAAGAGTAAAAAAAATATTAAAAAAAAAAAGAGTGCTCTCCCATGAGAGTATCTCTCAATTGTGAAACACCATCACCAAAACAACATTATAACTATTCTGCAATCATGTGTAATCCGAACTCTCCTTCTTCCGCCGCCGCGACAAAAGAAGCAGAAAACCATCATCTCCAACACCAAAAAAACAATCTTTTCTTTGATCTTCTCTCACTCCCAATGACCCCAATACAACAAAAGCCGGCGAAACTGTCGCAACCACCAGTACTCTTCTCAGTCTCCGCCGTGGCCGCGGAGTCATGGTCTCTCTTCACCTTGGCACTCCCCATCGCCCTCGCCGCCCTCATCCTCTACTCCCGCTCCGCCGTGTCGATGCTCTTCCTCGGCCGCCTTGGCGACCTGGAGTTGGCCGCCGGTTCCCTAGCCATGGCCTTCGCCAACATCACCGGCTACTCCGTCCTGTCGGGCCTGGCCCTTGGCATGGAGCCACTCTGTTCCCAGGCCTTCGGGGCCCAACGGCCCAAACTCCTCTCCACCACCCTCCACCGATCCGTCATCTTCCTCCTCCTCTCCTCCCTCCCCATTTCCCTCCTCTGGCTCAACATCTCCAAAATCCTCCTCTCCTTAAACCAGGACCCCGCCATCACCCGCATGGCTCACACCTTCTTGCTCTTCTCGCTCCCCGACCTCTTCACCAACTCCTTCATCCACCCAATCCGCATTTACCTTCGCGCCCAGTGCATCACCGTCCCGTTAACTCTAGCATCTCTCGCCGGAACTCTCCTCCACTTGCCTCTCACTTTCGCTTTCGTTTCACGGCTCAAGCTCGGCGTGGCCGGCGTGGCTGCAGCCTCGGCTCTCACCAATTTATTCGTTTTAATTTCGCTTCTCGGATATGTTTGGTGGTCGGGGTTATTACACGAGCCGACGTGGACGGCGCCGAACCGGGAGTGCCTCACCGGCTGGGGGGCGGCGCGCTTTTTTCGGGGGGAAGGCCGCTGCCCCGGCTAGCCGCGCCGAGCTGCGTCTCCGTCTGCCTGGAGTGGTGGTGGTACGAGATCATGATCGTGCTTTGCGGCTTGCTGGCGGACCCGAAATCAACGGTTGCCTCGATGGGCGTGCTGATCCAAACGACGTCGTTGATCTACGTCTTCCCGTCGTCGCTCGGGTTCGCGGTCTCGACGCGGGTCGGGAACGAGCTCGGGGCGAACCGACCCGGGAAGGCGAGGCTATCTGCTGCCGTGGCGGTGACGATCGCGTTCGTGACCGGCCTATGCGCGATGGCTTTCGCGTACGGGATGAGGGAGAGGTGGGGGAGGATGTTCACGGTGGACGAGGAGATCCTACGGCTGACGTCCGCCGCGCTTCCGATCCTAGGGCTGTGCGAGCTCGGGAACTGTCCGCAGACAGTTGGGTGTGGGGTCCTCAGGGGGAGCGCAAGGCCGTGCACGGCAGCTAACGTGAACGTGAGCGCATTCTATCTGGTGGGCATGCCCGTCGCGGTTGGGCTTAGTTTCTGGGTCGGGGTTGGGTTTTGTGGGCTCTGGCTGGGCCTGTTGGCGGCCCAGGTGTGTTGTGCTGGGCTGATGCTGTATGTTGTGGGGACCACAGACTGGGAGTTCCAAGCCAAGAGGGCCCGGATGCTAACGTGCGCCGGTTGTGGTGACACGACGATGATGCAGAGTAGTGATCGTAAGGGTGAGGAAGAACAGCCTTTATTTTGCATTGTGGTCGCTTCACCGTGAGAAAGTGGTTAACCCAACGACCGAAAATTAGTAACTCCAGATGTGTAACTTTTTTTCCTAGTTTTTCTTTCTCTCTTTCTTTTTTCCCTTTTTAACATTTTCTTTTTTTTTTTTAATTTCACTATGATTGTGAATTACCATTGATTTATTTTTTTTTCTTTTTCCTGTTTTTCTTTTAAAGAGGATAACGGAGAAATTTTGTTTTTATCTTATTCTTGTCTTGGTTCTAAAATTGTTATTATGCGTCGGTAATATTTTAGTGTTTGCTTCAAATTGCTAATATTCTCCCACATATTTTAGTGGTGGGAGTGCAACTCACTAATGCTTTGTAATTAAATAAACAGCTTGGGATATTTAGGAGAAAAAACCATCACAAAACTCAAAAATTATAAAATAAAAAAACTTAAATGGTTAAAAAATTTTCTCCCACTAGCTTGATCACGAGGCTCCACATAATGTAATATTAAAATTTAGAAGGATAAAGCATATTTGAACCATTTAAATTCTAGTCATTTCTTATTCTTAATCTGATTTGATTCAAGTATGATTTTTTTTTTCATATTCTACCACATAATTCTCCTTTTACAAAAAAAATTGTTATTGATATTTAATAGTAAAGAGATTAATTCTCTAATAGGATAATAAAGAAACCAAAAAAAAAAAAAAAAGTACTATCAGGCGCAATTTTAATTAAGCTACAAAATTTAATCAATTTCCGTTCAGTTACTATGCTTTTCTTAACCGTTATATAATTCTAATAAGATTAAACGATTCAAAACTTAGTCCTTCCGTTAGTTTTTTTAAAAAAAAGAAAAATTATATCCTATAATAAAATTCTCTTGATAGCAAAAATGCTAAGATCATCATGGATTAAATAATGAGATTATCGCTTCATAAAAAATTTTTAAAAAAAAAAAAGGCAAAAGAGAAATAATCATGAAAAAAGATATGAAAGACCCGTTGGATTTGCTAAAAGCTCTCCATAGATCACGTTCATTTTACACAAGTAACATTTCAATGGGCAGAAAAGTAAAACTGTACAGTACAGCAGGAGGGGAAATGTCTCAAAGATTCGGACATGTTTGATCTTTTTCTTTCATGTTCTAGTTGGGTAGGCAAATGCCACTGCTGAAAAAAATAAATAAAAAAAGTATCCACTCGTCTCCAATGAGAAAAGCCCACGTGGCAGCATTGAATCCCTATCACGTCAGATATCACCAGGGTCAGGCTCAAACACAGGCAGGAAAATATTTGAGAAAGAGAGAGAGAGAGAGACGAACTTGCAAGTAAGTAATAATTGGACCAACATGGTCCAAGTTGGGCAGCGACTCCATTGGAGCTCATCAAAGTTACGGCTTATCTTTTAGTGTCTAGTGTTTTTCTCCTTTTGTTTCTTCAAAAAAAGTTTCTGTGGTCTTAGCTTGAATGACACGGACTTGTTATTAATCAACAATAATAGTAGTGCAAATATTAGTGCTCAAAATGGTGGCGATGATGAAGATGATTGTGACCCAGATAGCGATGGTGACTTTATTATACATAGCTATCTCTATATATATATGTATGTATATGTATGTATATATCACTTAACGGCTAGGAATTGTGTTTTCATAGCTTTATAAGCTTAAAAGTAGAGGATCGCTAGTAGCTATATATATTTTGTCCCCACCATGGTATAATTAAAACACTTTTTTACTCAATTCTTTTGGATTAGTGTCATTTAGCTACTATATATGACACGGACGTTACACAATTATAGGACTAGCTTCTTGGTTTCTTGCAGTCTCATATTGCTGCCAAATGATATACCAAGAAATAAAAAGGCTAAGATACTCGGTACTTTGTGGCGATTTTCTTATACATAGCCAAACCAAGTGCATTTATAATTAATTACATGGAAATATCTCTTGATCAGAAAGGGAATTTGGGATAATATCGGCTAAATGACGATCAAGAAACGCCCACAATGAGTGTGATTGGTCTCGGTAGACGTCATTATAATAGGGTTGATCATCATGTGTTTGCCTTGTAGTTAGGGGACCGTCCTATTAAACGTTCACACAAAGTGCTTCCGAGCATATATATTCATACACGTATCTATTTATATTATGTTTATGTTTGTCTTCTAAGGCTTTAACTGAATACATATGTATATATATCATGTATAATATTTTAGGGCGTATATATCTTGATCGCTACAATATATATATTCCTACCAGTTGTCACTAGGAGTAATATATGTTATCATTGGACGTATTGAACAGCACCAATACTATAGTACGTACATACATACATACATACATATATATATATGTGTATATATATATATATATGTTACGTTGGATAAGAGGGAGAGAAAGAATACGTGAATGGCTAAGGCTATAACATAAAAGAGGCCCCCCCCAAAAAAACTGCAGAGAAAAGTCCACACAATAGAGGGGGGCAGCTTTGATAAGGCAAACAGAAGAAGGCGTTGTCTGTTATTTCGCAGCACAAGCTCTTCGGCAGAGAGCGCACGAGGGGGGGGTTGGGGAAGTCATCAGACCTTTCAGACCCGGCCCTTTTATGTCATTCAGTACTCAGTAGTTTGGCAATTTTTGTTTGTTTGTTTTCCTCTCGTCTGTCACACATAACCTTTTTTTGTTTTGTTTTGTTTTTTTATTATTATTTTTTATTATATATAGAGCTAGCAACAATCCATTTATTTCACAATCATATATATATAGCTAAAAGACGTCACATGGCACTCTGTCATTTTACGTCAAATCATATCAAAAATCAAATAATATACAAATCGTTATATGTTCATTTCTATTTCATCGATATAGTAGGGTTTGGTATTGAATCGTGGAATAATTTCAGCTTATCCTTTCAGCATTATATTGGATGAAATTAGGCAAATTATATGTATGTCTATCAATTACTAATAAGAGAGTTCTATAATGTGATAGCTAGTAACTAGTGTTAAAAAAAAAACAAAAAATAAAAAATAAAAAAAAAAAGAAAAAGGTACTCTACAATACTGCAAAGGCACAATAATTAACTATCAGATCTTCATCATACTTTGTCAAATCTCCTGACATAATTTTGATGTGAAATAATCCATTAAACTACAATACAATATTCCATGCAGATCCCTTAGCACCTCAAATGTATTTAGTTACAACTAGTCTAGTCTATTAGTTTTTTTTTTTTTTTTTTGCCCCTATTAGGCGTCCACTTGTGAGATTAGTCATTATAGTTGAGTAGGCTTGATTTAATTGTCTGCTATAACATAGTAAGTTTTGGGGCTTTCGGCGTAAAAAAACCTAGGCTAAGTAATTTTCATAGGTTCCAAAGAATTCTATGTACAATTTTTTTTTCTGGCCAACACTGTTTGTCAATTTGTATTTTCTGTTTGAAACATGCATATAATAGGAGGGTACTGAACCGACTAGACCGTATATGGGCTCCATACCCATCAAGTCCATCAAAATTTGCATTCAGAAAGTCAGAATACCAAAAAATGCCAAATTAAATAATTATGTTTCGAACTGACACATGGAAAGTTTCCTCAGGCAATTCTTGATTATTTCTCATTTCCTATCACTTATGGTTAGCCTCGTCCTGTGCTTGTGTGGTGGGTATTACATAATATTTTAAAGTGGTCATGGCTTGGTGTCATTCCATTATTGGTCAATGTCGATATCACAAAGATAACACTTAACGATTATACTTAGTTTATAATCAAAGGAAAGAGATTATATAAACATCCGATTGGACAATTGTCTTGGGCATGCAATCTTTGTGGGTTATGCATGGAATCATGCCTAATGATTTTAACGGTTTATAATATACAATATTATACAATATACCAAAATGATCATTTGATCTCTATACGTGTGTTTTGTATTGCTATATATACATATATATATGTGTGTGTGTGTGTGTGTGTGTGTGTGTGTGTGTTGGACTTTGTTGTCTTTTGTTTGTGGTGTAACTTGCACGCTATGTAAAGCCAAACTCTCATGATAGATTGGTTAAATATTTCGGAGGCCTCATTTATGTAATTATAAGATTATGAACTGTAAAGACTTGCAAATTAAAACCAAAAGTATAATGCCAATGGTAATGGAAGTATATGAAAATAAGCCTAGCTATAGCATATATAGACGTAGACCTTCCATGTAGCTAGCTAGTGATCATTATGAACGTTTGTTGAGTTGAACAAAAAGATAAAGATACAAAGAAAAATATGAGGTTTTTTTTTTTTACGTTAATCAAGAATGTCGGCGAATAATAATGTATGGACTAAGATTATCACAACTATTGATATTATAAATAATCCCAACAGAATCATTTTCTCGTATGGTATTTGATGTACCATATCTCGTTTCCACATGCCAGTGTTTATCTAAACGAATCCCATTCATGATCTATATATTTTGTTCAGGCCACAAGATTAGTTTATTTCTCTTATATAGTTTGCTTCTTCTTTTAGCATGTTAAGTGGGCAAGACAGACTCACGACATAAAACTAAAAACTTTGTGCCTCTACTAATAATTGTATCTACTAAGCTAGCTAGCCAAGTGTACTAGCTAGCTCCAAGCACATCTATATATATATATATATATATATGTATGTATATATATGTATAAATATACATATAGCATGGTCCAACATTTTTAGGCTTTTTTCCCCGCGGGTGATCATGTGTCAAACTGCCATGCATGATGCACTTTCAACAAAAGTGTCATTCTCAGTAGTTCTGCTGTTTCAAATCAGGACAACAATTATCCGCAATTGGATATGGCCTCATGAGACATGGAATAATACATATATTATAATACCATACTTTTTTTTTATGATTTTTCACGTTTATTAAAATATATGAAAACCAATGTTAAGTTTGTCTGTCATGATGATTTTGTTTGAAGAATTTTAATTTTTAGGATGAATTGTATTTAAACAAACTTGTACAGTAATTGCACTATCTTCAAATAATAGCTCAACCTTTTGAAATTCATAACTAC